AATTCAGGGTGAAGACCATACCTGTTCTGGAGGTAGTGCAGCTTCCCCACTAGGATGCTAATCTTCTGTTGGCACACCCACGATCTATGCATATTCTTTCTGTATGAATAATGCCCTCACTGGCCTCTCCACCTTCTCAATGTGGGATTCTAGCTATGTAGGAGTAGAGGTATGTATGTTTTGGAAGTTAAATTTTCCTAAACTGAAGAACACCTCCTCTTCCACCCTTCCTCCACACTAAGAGCCGGTGTTAGAGACTGCAGATTGAATCAGTCTTAAAAAGTGATAACATTATGTGAATGAGGTGCTTTTATACAGTACCAGGATAGAGGGCGCATTGATGTACGTGGAGAGTATCATAAGACAAATATTGCCAAAGGCAATTAGTGAAGTATAAAAGACTGGAGCAAGTGACAAAAATCAGACCAATGCTCAGATGGGCAAAGGAAGAAACTCTGGCAGTCGAGTAATAGCTATAAGCGTAAGTAGAGGTAAGTATTATTGTAAATGGATTTCCAGTTCAGGAAAATGTTAACTTGTTTTTTCTTACCCCATTTCTTATAATGATTCCCAATCTCTTTTACAAAACCCTTCCACTTGTGGTTTCTTGGTTTATTCCACACTCCCTCTGACATTTTCATCCATGTTTCATCCTTTGTAGAACAGGTTCATTTTTACAACATTATGCTACATCCTCCGCACCTGACAGTTTCCTACCTAATTTCTTAATGTTCCTCTCCCTTCTTTTTCTGGACATCCAATCTTTGGTGTCAGATTTGCAGCCTGGAAGATGCAATATTTGTTTGTCATGTCACTTTCCTGTACCCACATTTCCCAACTTTGTGCTTTCCTTATTATCCTCCTTTACCTTTCCTCTCTCCATCTCTTGACAAGGACACACCACTGTTCTCTTAATGACTTTACAAGGTACAATCAGACCCTTCCTTTCACTTCCATGGCACCTTCAACTTCTTTTGCACTTTTACCTTTCACTTGGTTCTTTATTGTTGGGACCTCTTGGGTAGAGATACCCTACCTTCCCATGTCAGTTTACCCACCTCCTCCTTTCTTTATCTTTGTTTTGCCATCATTTCTGTACCAAGTTTATTGACGTATATTAATCATAAAGTTGTTTTATTAACACTAAAAAAATTGTGACATGTGCAAAAGACCATATGGTTCCATATGGAGGGTTTCTTTTCTTTCCAGTGGTTCTTTTCATCCAGATTGTGGATGACTAAAGTTAATGCTTTGAATGCCTTTTTACACATTCCTATTGTCCCATCCTCCAGATATTTTCTTCATTTCTTGAACCATTCAGTGCTGTAGGCCACACATTTTAAAAATTTGTAGACCAGTAGAACCTTTCTCGTGATCCATTTTCCTGGCATCTTGACCATGCCAACACTATGGTGGACATTCCCTTGCTGTCTTCCTGACCAGTTCTTCATCTCTTCACAGGGACTTCTCTGTCAGGCTTGGGCAAATCTCTAAATGACTACATGACTTCAGGCATGTGGTCTCTGAAGGAGCATTCATTCCACATCAGTGACCTTGAACTTGTCGCCATCCATCGGGCATGTTCCCATTTCCTTCCTTTTCTCATAAATTGGTTGGTTATGATCCATACCAATAATTCCTTGGTCACTTCTTATATCAACCATCACAGGGGTACCCAGTCCATTAATCTATGCTTCCATGCAATGCATCTGCTATTTTGGGCTCATTCCCATAGGGGGCTTTGAAATTGGTGCTGAATTGCTTCTCTTGCCTGGACAAAGTTCTACCCATGGGTGGAGACACCCTCTGGATTTTTCTTGGGTTTGCTCTCACTTGGGAACACCTCTCATCAATACCTTTGCTATTCCCCTACTTTTCCCCTTTTCTGGTCCTCAGTTTTTCATCCTTTGGTTCTTGTGGTTGGTGTTCTCAACCATGATTGATCTCATCTTTTTCTGTACCTGTCCTCCTCTTCATTTTCTCTCTCATGTCCTCATTTTGATACATGACACACCTTGTTGGGTCCTGTTGGTGTTGTCTCTTTAGCTAGCACAACCCTGATTTTTGTCTGCTTTGTCAGTTGGCATCCAGGCCCCCCTTTCTCTGCTCCATTCCCACTTTCTCTTTCTTCAACCTCACATCTCTCTTTCACTCAGGGGTGTCATTCCTTCATTTTTAATTGTGGGATTTTTCAGGTCAATTAACCACATGGCTGTACTCCAATCAAGTAGTCTATATCTTATCCCATTGCTGTCATTCTTCAACTTTGTCTATCAATAGATGTGGCAATGTTTTTAGTGTTGGTCCATCAGCCACTTCCTTTCTCTAGGCCATCCAACTGTGGCCCATTTTTTGACATTTTTTCACATGGTTGTTTAGTCATGGATTGTCATTGCTGGATTGTTTTCCTTCCCTTTACCATCAAGTTTGTTCTTCCCTGTCCTCTCTACTTTGTTCTAATCCTTCCTTCTTCAATGTACACATACACACACTGTTTAAGCCATTGGCTACATACTCATTATACCATCTTTATCTGAAGGCATGTCTTCTTGCCTCTGGTTGCCATCATTAAGATGTATATACCATCAGTGCTTCTCACACACTTTCACCATACTTACTTCCTCCTCTACCCACACCTGGCTTTTCTTCCTAAGACTTCAGCTGCTCAGATGGATGATTATTATTTTACATTTTGTTGCATTTGATTTGACAACTGTCTCAATCGTGCATCTCACTTTCACTGACCCTTGGACAAGATCCTTCAGGCTGGCATGTGGATGAATCTGCACATTTTCATTTCCCATTATCTTCATCATTTGGCTATTTTGTCTCTGTTGGATTTTGACTCCTTTCAGTTATTGTTCTTCAATAAAGAACGGTAAGTACACTTTCTTTTACATTACCCTCGTCTCTCTTTTTTTCCATCTTATAGGATCCCACAAGGCCTGGTGGTAAATGTTCAACCTATTTCTCCTGGCTCTACCAATGATATTTTTCTTGGTGAGGTGTTTCACAAGACCACTAGAGGCATCTTCATGGTATTAAAATTACTCAATTGCCTGATCCAAACCATACTTTCCATGGACCAGCATGGAAAGAGCCAGCACCAGGGAAGTGATTTCCCACTACTTTGGCCTGCTCTTGATGACTGTTAGATATAGAATTTAGCAGTCACCCATTACACTGTCTCCAGTAAATAACCTTTTCAGTAGACATTTAATGGGCATCTTGGCACTTCTCTGGGTCTCCATTTTTTTAAGTGGAACACAGGAGACCCTTGCCATTTACTTAGCTGGGGTGGAAAATCTTGAAGAGTTCCTCACTGATTGTTTACGGCACAATACAGTGGGAATTAGGGTGTTGGCACTGTCTGTATAGTGCAGGTCACCTCTTAAACAACTAGTGTGACCTCTTCCTGCAGCAGGACAGGTTCATCACCC